ACACTTTTATTAGAAAACTGATATTTTAAATGCAAAGTATACTTTAAGGAATAAATGTTATTAAATTAAAAAGAAACGAACACGAAAAATAATCTGATTTCAATAATTTAAATTGTAAATGAAGTGTGGTAACTTATAGTAAATAAACAACTTGAGATTAATTACAATTAAAACCTTGAAATTAAAAAAAAAATTATAACAATATGCAAATCTTATAGGTGCATATTACTTGATAAGATTTCAAATCATAAATTCCTCTTTTTATTATGCCAAATTGTTCTTTTAACATATTTACACATTTTGTGCAAGTTCCACTTGAGTACTAGATAATGTTTCTGTTGCATTTTGTGTTTACACCTGTTTAAATTGTTTTAGAAGACTACATAAATAAATATAAATAATGTATTATTAATACGAAAATCTTATGTTAATTGTAATAGTTTTATTTACCTGAAATTAACAACCGATGCCAATGAGTTCTAGCACTTTTCCATAATTGGGAATCTCTTAATAAAACTCCTTTTATAATACATGGATCTGGGGGTTGTGGTTTCAATACAACTTGGGCAAAAATAGACCTAAAACCTTCCCCGTGTCCTAAAAATTCCTGCATCCATCCCAACAGTTTTGTGGCAAATAGTTGATGGGCTACCACATGGGCATGCATGACTAATATTTTTAACGGTCTGTTACCGAGCCTACCAGTATATTTCTCAATGTCACTCTTAAAGGTGTTACAGTGTTGAAAGGTAGAACATTTAACAACGGCCCTACCTTCCCTGTCCACGTTCGTAGCATATTCAATGGCGTTTCTTTGATTGCATTTGATGATCCTGGTTAACGTAGTTATGACTTGCTCAAAGGTATGTACTTCATCATTATACATGAGGGTGCAGTACGTATCGATATTGAATAAATCGTCGTCTACGTCTCTTAGTCTAAGATCAGAGGTATGTTCTAATGTGAGCAGGTTGTAAGCATACCAAAGAACAGCGTCGAAAACTATTCGAGTGCGTTCGGTCATATCTTCAGGCAACGTCCTCTTTGTCTCGTCCTCTTCGGGCCTTACTGGTTTGTGTATATCACAGTATGGAGCTTTTCTCCAGGCTTCCTTGTCACCACAGTCACAACAACCTCCTCCTCCTCCTCAGAAGAAAAAATACTTTAGAGATTCTATGTTAATAATTAATAATATAGATGCACAGAAATATTTAATTTAAACATACAAAAGCAGCTACCAATGTATAACTACACAAAGCAAGTTAAATTATAAGAAAATGATTAGAATATATTTGCAATTTGCAACTGTAACATGGTGTGTCTATTAATTACTTATTTGTACTTATTGTTAACAAATAAGTACAAATAATATACTTATCTGCTTAGAATAGTACACATACAAATTTTAGATATCTTAAATGAAATTTTTTGTATCTTCCTTTTAATTTACCAAAAAAAGTGGTGAATATAAAGCATTTCTTTTGTTAAAAAAATCAGTTACTACATTGGACAATTAAAATATATAAAATGCCTTAAAAGATACCTGATGTCCTCATCTTATATTTATGAAAACGATGTTCTGACTTTTTGAAACAATCCACACAAAGAACACAGGTACTATCCATTCCACATTCTCTGCAACTATATGTTGGTTCACCCATTTTAAAAACTCTTCCACATACTGTGGGTGGAGGTTCTAGTTGACTTATGGTATATAAAAAAGTTGATGGGCCACCATTACATATAAATTCTTCTAGGGGATTGAAAAGTATTCTTTGAGCTTCTTCTTCATTGAAACTCCAGTTAAGACAGCTTTCGTTTATATTTGGACTATAAATTCTAGGAACCCATGTTCTCCAATATTCACGAAAATGGGAACTTGATAGCACTCCTTCTTCAAACTTTTGCAACCACTTTGACACCACTTCCTTAGTGTCTATCGTTGGTGGTGAAGGGGTCATTTCCACATCTGTTATTTCCTCCATTGTTCCTATAAACTTGATTACTCAAAAAGAAGATAATAAAAAGTGTAATTTTGAGTTATATAATTGCAATCTCTTCCTAGTGAACACAATTGGTATTTAACGTAATTGTTTGGTTTGATTTTATGAATGTCATTTATTTTATAGAAACTTTGTAAATAACGGTTTTACAGGTTTACTTAAAACAAAGGAAACGTATCGTTGGGTAAACTGAATTTTATAATGATTACAAAGCGATTTGTTAAAATATGGTAGGTTAGTTAGGCATTGAGGGTTATAAATAAAATATGTTGTATTGCGGAGGTAAGAAATACAGCAACATATTCAAAGGTTAAATGAGTATTTCACGTACAAAATACTGTCGTAGAACTACTATAAAACACAAGAACAGATACGTAAACCTTATCAAGGTAGAAAGTTAATAATAGTTAATTACGACTTACTTGAAAATTTTCTATCCAAGGAAAAGTACTATCTAATAGAAGTGTGAAATAGCAAGAAATTAAACAAAGAATCGGACTTAATCCCACTTTTGTGACAGCTTTAGTTGTTTCTGATTTTTAAATAATCTTTACGTTGCACTTTGACATTTAGACGGCCATAAAACAGCTGATTACAATATCTTTGTAGGTATCCGCCACAAAAAGACTTGATTATTGGTTCATTGCAGTATTAATTATAATTTTAAAAAAATACTTCCAATTTCATCAATTTTCAAAACTATTTAAGAGTACCTAACTTTATTGCACTACAACAGATTTTGTGAAAAACTGCGAACTTATTTTCTATTTCTAGATGAAACGTTGCCAATGGTTTGAGTTAAAGTTAGTGATCTGAGTTTATTCAATTTTGCTACTGTAAAATAGAGCAGGAAAAAATTTGATAAATGTTGTATATTTCTCATCTTCTGCCAAATATATATTTTTTCTAGAAATAGTAAAATGAAACATTTTATCATTTAGTTATATTCTTTTGCGACTTTATTTGCTTTATTTCTTAAGAGAATGGCAATGCTGCAGTTATTAAATGGTGCTGCCACCTATTGGTACATACAAATATTAAAGATTTCTTGGTTTTTCACATTACAGATTGCGATATAATTGGGCATCGAGAGCAACCGTAATTAGCGTTTAAATGTACAGATGGCACAACAAATACAATTACAAAATAATTTAAAAAACTAATAAGGATATAGAAATAGTTCACGTACTTCAGAAACTATTGCAGCATTAGGTACTCATAAAAGCATTATTTTTCCTTTTTAATTCCATTCGCAATTCTAGAGTAATATATAATTAAAATTTTATAAATACAGCATATGATAACTTTTTTATACAACTTCACTTAAATTAAAGACCAAAACACTAAGTTTTATATTCGACTAGTTTCGTCTATTAGGGCATTTTGCAAAATAAATGAAATGATATCAATTACGACTGATTTTATAGTTAACGTTTTATAATAAGAGTTTAATTATAAAATCAACTGGAGTCTGCATAATTTTAATCATTTTAAAAAATGTCCCAATCGACGAAACTGGCCGAATATAAAAGTTAGTGTTTTATTCCTTAAGTTAAACGAAGTTATATAAAAAAAGGTTATCAAATTATAATGAATCTACACAAAGTAACAGCATTCTATAAATTATATTCAAACAAATATATACATTGTTCTTTTAACATATTNGATTATACACTTATTATAATACTACTCATTTTTAATATTAATTTAAAAAAATAATGGACGAGAGTTTTTTAAATAAGCAACATTAATTATTTCGTAGTCAGCAATTTATAGAAAACTACAGATATGGATAGCGAACATAATAGTTCTCATCAGTTTACCAAATAAGTTCAAAATGACGATTCACATGTGCTATTGGAGGTATAAATAAATTGCTGAGATCTTGATCTCAAACTTCTTTATTTTGTGAAAATTTGCTTTTTTTAAGAAGAAGCTATTACCAGCTTGGTGAATTTGACCCATACGAAATCAGATCTCAAATTTCTTTAAGGGCAGTTTAATTTACTGACACAGTATTGCGATTCTAGTTTCTATGTTTAAATCACCTAATTAATTAAGCAAATGAAAAGATCACGTCTGATGAGTTTTACTTTTCTTCTTCTCGCGTGTATACGCAATGCGTGTCCTCTAAAAGTCCTCTAAAAAGTTAGGTCATTGAATTTGGACTCTTGTCCTTCAACAGTCGCGACCGCGTTGCATTTGGTAGTGCAACGGCCTCCACAGGACCCACCAACTTTGCCGCCACTATGAGCAGGGAAACTAGCAGAGCTTGTTGCACTCATGCATTCGAAATATACGAGGGTGGATTCATTAATTCTAATAATAATGTAAAATCAAATATGCACTACCCTTCTTACATTTATTATCTGACATATAACGGCAACAGATACAAGTGTTCTTATTTCCTGTACATGTATGGCACAGTACCTTTCTTGCGATACAAGGGTCGTTCCCTTCCTTTTACAATAAATATCTACCGATAATGTATGCCAGAAGTTTCGACGTTCACGTATTAATATAATGTTGATGTAGGGCCGAAGTCAGCTTCTTTTCGCATGAGGGGCCCACGGTTGTAGATTTTTAACTTCCATTAATCTAAGACCATTGAGTTACGTAATAAAAATGACATAATCTCACATAACTCAAAACAATTTTAGTTCCACGATAATACGACTATATTACGCACCTAGGTAGAATAAGTAAAGCATGTAGGTCAATTTCCTCCCTTGGTGTGTATCCTATTTTTTACCACCACTCGGTCAGGAAGTGAAACAATTTAGTAATCATGTTCAACGAGAAAGTTTTAGGACTTATAAATTAGTAAAGGCTTTTGTGGCGAGTAGGTGAACTGATGCTGTTCTGATTCGGATTTAAAGACCGTCGTCGATGTTCACATCCAGCATCGGAAATGGAAGGACTTCTGAAGAAGTTCGCTATTCGTGCTAGCGAAACGTTAAGAAGCAACTCCAACTGACGGTGGCCTTTAGACCCGAACCAGAACAGCATCAGTTTAGTCTTAGGACTGACGACCATGTAATGAAAATGACGATGAAAGCATCTTGGGTTAGGTGAAGTTACATGCTTACTATTTTAAATTTTACACTATTACTAGTTAAGTTAATATTCAGGATAGGCTAGAACATGGGCCAGAACTTTTAATGAGTAGATCTTGGCCCATTCAGGTTCACCCGTACTTTCATACATTCCTGTGATGATGATCGTGTATTTGAATAACTCGGGATCCAATGACGAAGTCGTGGAAAACGCTGAATTGATTTCCATGAGCAATAAGTAAGGGCAAATTAAAAAAAAAAAACGCATTGAAATTAATTCGTCCATTTTGGAATTACGATTTCACAGACAAAAAAAGCTCTAAAGCAGCAGTCCTCTTTCTCATCAAAAGAAAAACAGCAACTTTACTGTAGCTTGTGTTATTCAAAATGGAAACCAAAACTAACTTTTCGCAAATAGCTATAAAGCGAAAAGAATCTTTACTCTACAGGAGGAGACTTTCTTAAACTTGAGCGGTTTACTCTTTACCATTTATTTTAACTGACGGTAGGTTTCATTTTTTTAGCACTTTGTCTTTAAAACAACGGATAAGTGATGCAAATTGCTTCCTATTTAATATTTTTTTTCCACTTCGTCCCTTATCCAGCATTCATACGAGACTATTCCTTTTATATGCACCAAGAGTTTCTTCGAAGAACAACATAAAGCAATACTCTTCGTGTTATATAAAAATTCTTGATTGTGACTTTTCTTATTAATTTGTTACCCACCGTATATTTTTTTGGTGTGCATTCGTAAATAGCCCGGTGGTGTGGCGGTTTGTCTCGATACACCCATCGTTAGATACTAAACAGGCTAGGCCAATCTGGAACTAGAGAGCTTGGTCATCGGCCTCAAAATCTACTTAATTTGAAATACATATGCATACATGCATTCATTGCACCTTTTGGTCTTAAGCCAGCTTTCATTTCTACAATAGGTAGATTTCTTTTTTATACATATACATATACGTATAGATATGACTGCACGAAAATATTCAAATATTTTCTTAAGAGTACCAATGTATATCTGAAAATTTCTAGAAACCTCCTTAAATTTGAATACTTTTTCTGGTGTGCAATTGTTAAAAAATTTTAAATTCAGAAAGAGTAATTCTTAAGTAGTATATAAATAATTACAAACTACCTCCTCATGTTTCGTAAAATCGTTCTCGACCTCTACAGTAAAATAATTAAAAAGATAGCAAAATATCTATGTCGAATAAAACTAATGACAATTTATTACTACAGCCACGTTATCACCCTTTTTGGCCAAAACATAATTCACACGGTAGGGTAACTCAATCGTTTAAATATGAGTAATTTAATTAATTGACCTAATAGACGAAGATTGCATCAGGGTCATTGAATAATATTACGTATCGTTAAAAACTGTCGGTCTTTTTTAGTACTAATTACTGATTTATTTCTGCAACTCCCCTAGAATTATCCTAAAATAACTCCTACGTTAGAATTTGACAAGTGGGACAATTCGGCACCCTCACTAGAAAGCCTGTGACAACAGATTACTGAGGGTATCAATTTGACTTTAATGGCATGCTTAACGAAGCATATGTGTTTTTTACCATTTAATAACCGATAGTTCACTGATGTGGGTGAGGAGAGCGGTGCTAAGACCGGTCTGATTCTCGCACTATGATGCTGTGAAGGATAATGGACATTTTCATATTTATTATGCGACCAACACTATTCCAGAAAATCAGCGATGTATGCAATTACAAATGATTTAAAAAAATTACTGTAAAAGAAGTTTAAGGTCAAGTGTATATTTTTTTTTTATTTCTAATTACAATGATATTGCTGATATTTTTTCTTGCGGTAAGGCAACGTAATTGTCGTTTCTTCTCAGATTCTTCTACCCTCCTTAGGAGTTACGAAATTAAACAGAGATTAGACCAATTTAAACAAGGTTTGGTGGGGTCGACAACCTTGTGCTTAAATAAATACAAGTTGACTTCATGTAAACGAGTGTACTAAAGCGGCATCAATATAATATGTTAACCCCAGAAAGGGGAATGTGAATCGTTCCTTTATCCCAAACGTCCGCAACCAGCTTCCGTTACGTTACGTATTAATTAATTACACTCTAGGAAGTCTTTCAGTTTGAATATTTGATAAAATTAAAACGTAAATTAATGAACTTGTCAATCGTATAAACTGCAACGGACGAAAGATACAAAACTTTGCCAAAGTTATATGTTGATACGTACTTACATTAAATATTTAGCAAAGAATGTACTGACGAAACAAGAACCAGACAAAGCCGAATTTTATTTAAGCGGCACAGTTCAAATTGTAGGTATCATTTAAAATATCTACTTTTTTTAAAGCCCCCAATAAAAAAAGGGTAAAATTGCAACAACAAACTTTCTACCTCTCCAGTGGAATTGCAATATACGGCATTATTTCGTGGCAATTACGAAAGGGTCACTTTTATACGGTTATAAAAAAAGGCAAGGAAGGGTTGTGAGAAAAAACTATAGGAACCTTGCGGTTTAACATGGGTAAAATTGCTACAGTATTTTAAAATTCTATTCTCTAACGGGACTGCAAAAGTCAGGTCAAAACAGAATCGGAATAACAGGTTGAAAAGGATTCTGAAGGATTGAAATTGCTCTATCTGTAAAGCCATTGTGGTGCGAAATAGGAGCTACCTGAAGTAAAGGAACGATTTCTTTTTCTTGATTATTTTATTATTTAACCTGAACGAAT